GTGTGGCTRCTGTGTACAGTCACTAGAGATGGCATTTGAGGAAAAATAAACTAGGATTCCTCTCATTTAAATAACAGCACCAGCGCTTTTCTCTATACCCATTTGATCCCATTCTTCCCAGTGCAGTTGGGCCAACACATCCATGATCTGAATCCATCGATTCAACCAACCTTAGATCGAAAGTACCTCTCCCCTCAAATATGTACTAAACATGTACAGACTTTGTTCTTCTCACTAGTCCCTAAATAATACAGTATAACAGATATTTGAGTAGCATTTATACTGTATCAACTATCATAAGTCATCTAGAGATGATTTAAAGCACACAGGAAGATGTGCATAGGTTATACACATATGATACAGCATTTTGTAGAAAGGACTGGAGCATCCAGGAATTTAGTATCCTGGTAGGTTAGGGGGTGGTACCTGGAACCAATCCCTGTGACTACTGAAGGACAATTCTACCACATATTTGTTTTCCATAGCAAATTGTGCTCTAGGAATTTGAGTTCATGTTTTTAATTACTTGCAAATTGTACTGTGCTGTTTTCCCCAAAACATTGCTTTTTAAATTTTATTTTTATTTTTTCCCTTTGGTATTTTGCTTAGTTGTACAAAAGTAGATCAATTGGGACCATGGTAGAGGGGGAATCAAGGACTTTTGGTCTCTGGTCCACTGATTCTCAAGCTTTACTCCAGGGATCCACAGAATCAGCATTATCTAGGACCAAAATGTCAATCAGTAAGCTGACCTGAAACCTACTGAATTCTTGGGGTGAGACTTTGCAGTTTTTATTTTAATATCCCTTCCAGACAGGAGATATTACGCTAAAGTTTGAAACTACTAATGTGGATTATCCTCACCCCAAGCTACAGACATGCCCAATTAGACAGAATTCGTATAGAAACAAATGTTTTGGAAACACAATTAATGAGTCATTTACCCTCTCAAGGTTAAACAATTAATTTCCACAAATGAGTTCAGTGAGAAGTTTCATCTTAAGATGTGATTTGATCTGATCGTGACTTATTTTTGGTAACATTTTTTATTTTTCTAAACCCCTAAAAGTCAGGATCTTTTTATTTCTAGTTGTTAAATGCATGCTAGCAGAAGCCTGCTGCCTGCCTGTGTGTGCTTTTAACATTTGCCTATTTGAATACTTTGTGTTCTGTGTTTTGCAAGTGTTTGCTTAAACTCATTCAGTATCCAGGTTTCCACCATATCTTGGCTGCATCTAAAGCTGGTGCAGATCATTCCAGCTCATAGTGTAATGACATGGTCTATGGTGATCCACTGGACTTGCCACTTGGGTTTTTAAAACACTGTGTGTTGACCAGCYTGGGCACAGTAGCCTGTAATCCCAGTAACTCAGGAGGTGAGGCAGGAGGATTGAAAGTTCAAGGCCAGCCTCAGCAACTTAATAAGACCCTGTGCCAAAATAAAAAAGCCTTTTTGGGGGGATGTTGCTTGGTGGTAAAGCACCCAGAGTTCAATCCCTAGTACTGCAAATAAATAAATAAGATAATAAAACAAAATGAAATACAGCATGTTAAGCATCCCCCCCCCCGTGAGATAATTTAAAGCAATGCTTAGGGTTCTGCAATCTAGATAACAACTTCTTCTGTTGCTAATTAGATGAAAGATATAGAAAGTAAAATGATTGGGCCCCAGGAGGAGGATTTTCCCCAGTGAACCCTCTTGGAGGACACCTCAGTTATGGGAGACTTGTTGTTTAATTAAAGAGGTGCTTTGGAAATGACTTCTTTCTTCTTCTCTTTAGCACCATAATCTTTACCATTAAAAAAATAATAAAATAAAAGCAGTATTTGCCAACCATTTGTCTGTCTACCTGGAATGAAATTTCTTAATTGGCTGTCCAAAGTGAATGGGACCACCACCAATATCCTTGACTTTCCCACCTCTGACTTAGTTCAAAGGAAAAGACAGGTTCCTGTGTGTTATAATTACAAATCCCTGAGTCATTTGATCTGCTTCAATAACAAGTAAACCAAAGCCCTTCCACAGAAAAGCCATCAACACGCCCAAGAATCAACAAGACCTCCCTCATCTCATGTAGCTAGCTAGCCTTTGTTGCCAATTGAACTCAGCCCCTCCACAAATTTTATCCAAGCCAAACCTTTTTGCTGTGCCCTATTTGCTATAAATTTAACTTTACTGATCTAGTGTTTTTGCTCAAACCTGGGTCCTCTCAAGTTCTTTCCTAAGTAAAGAACAGTAGGAGACTGGGAATGGAAAAAGAAGCCCCAGGACAATTATAGCAACATAATGAAGTGTGTGTTGGTATTAAGCAGAGACTGGTGCAGAAGGCCTGTGTGTCCGTAAATCTTTCAACAGTTGTCTTTTGTGTGATTCTCTAGCAACAAGATTATGTACAAGATTGTTGTTTGTTTATTTTTATTTTTTAACCTAACAACTAGAAGTCTTTTTTTTGTCTTTGTGTGATTCTCTAGCAACAAGATTAAGTACAAGATTGTTGTTTGTTTATTTTTATTTTTTAACCTAACAACAGAAGTCTTTTTTTGCCTCTTAGCTAATTAGCTTAGTGGCAAGCAGCAACTCTCAGGTTGTGTGCGTGAGACTTGGTTTCTCTAGGTCTCACAGGGCTACCTCCTGCTCCTTGCTGCGGGAAAGCCAAGAGGCTAGAGCACACGGGCAATCCTACCCTTCCTTCCTCCTTTGATTATTTTTCTTATTCACTGAGATTCCAAGTCCTCCCTCATTTCAAATAATGGATACCCTGTTTATGTTGGAGTTGTGTTCTACATATTTTCATAACTGGGAAAAAGTCTTAAATAACGAACAGAATATAAAAACTTCTGAATGTTAAAAAAAAAAAAAAAAAAAGGCTTTCTTATGGCCCCAGAGCAGGGTAAATGTGTCTAGCCTGATTAATTGGCTGGTTCAGGCATAATTGCTTCCAAAGTGAGGAACAGGCTTGGTTGCTAGGCCTGCAAGCACCAACTTTGTCCTTGGCTGCAGTAAAAGGCAGGTAGGGAAAGCTGAGCCATCCGGTCTCAGTAGCACAAAAGCTCTGAGTGTTCTTTCTGCATAAGAAGGTTGTGCAGCCTATCAAGAAGGAAAGAGAACAGGTAGCAGACATTCTTTAATACACAAGTAGTTTTTAAAAAAATTCTCCTGTAGTGGTTTTTAGTACTGTGTAGTGCCACATCCCAGGGCCCCTTTGATGGCTCATGGTGTCACTACCCTGGTTCCTGTGACACCAGCCACTGCCAGCCACAACATAACCACCTAAGGCTGGGGGAATTTGGCCCAAGCATAGGCAGGATTGCTGAGGGGAGAAAACGGCTATATTTTTTCATACATAAAGAATGCCATTTGAAGTACTGGTTTGAATCCAGAAGTATTATGGAAGTTCCTATTTTGGCCAGGGTCTGTACTTTTTTTATATGCATAGTGACCTTATTAATTGTCTACTCTTAAAGCCTGTATAAATCTGAACCCCTATGTTACCGACTAGTTGGAAATAGTAATATAAACAGAGTTATGTAATTAAGTTATGTAGTATCTCTATGCTGAATGTTTTGTCAAGCTGTAAGAGTTTTAATATTTATTCTAAGCCACAGGCTTTGCCAAACAAGATAATGAGATTACTCACTCTTGCTTAGAAATAGCAGATGTAATAACCTAATATTTAAAAGCATTATTTGGAAAAAGAGAAGTTTGAGATTGAATTTTCCTTTATCGGGAACGTTAGGTAATTTTTTTTTTTTTGCTCTACTCTACAAGACATTAAAAATTAAACGGATCTACTTTTCCCACATAATGGCTATATTTTCTTTTTCTAACTGGCCTAAAAATCCAGAGGTGGGTTATAAATCGTTTATTTGTGGTGGGTGTAAGGAGAAAAAAAAATGTATAGACTGGAAAATATAAAACATATACAATGAACAAAGAATGAAAACTAGAGTCATAGGCATCTAGGCTGATTCCATAACTTGACTATTGTGAATATTGCTGCAATGAACATGGGTATGCAGGTGAATACTGCATAGAAAGAAAAGAAAACTGCAGTGAGTTCAGGATATAGTATATCATTCAGCTTGAGTCTGGGGTGCCTTGAATCATGGGCAGTAGCAATGGTTTTCTTACCCCCAGGAGTGAAAGCCGGAAATCAGTAGGTGGTCCTACCAATGCCATCAACTGCGGGGTGGAGACTTTTCAAATGGAAGAAGCAGATGTACATTCAAGGACATTCTTTGGGGGAGGGGGTAGAGGACCCAGTTTCCAATATGAGTTAATGCTGTGGGCTTAGAGGTTCTGAGTCAAGTTCAGACTAGTCAGGAACATGGGAAAAGCGGTCAGTAATTTGTTGTTTTAAAAGTCGTTTATTTGAAGAGGATATTAAATAAGATGCATTCATCTAACTTTCATGACAACGCAAGTCATGGGAAAGTGTGAAACCCCCAAGATCCCTTACTCCTTAGCCAAAACACAACTGACCTATGGGAAAAGACATGCATTTCCTACCTTCAGTGAAAAACACTCTAGACTAGACGCTTCTCTGCGCATCCTGGGTGCGTAAAACCTGACTGCCCTGTGATCCCCTGTGTGAACGACATTGGTGGCCAGGAGTCAGGTTCCTGTCTGCGAAGCCTTCCGGTCTCATCCACATCAGGGGATGTAGCTCAGGATTTGTTCATCTGACCCCGAGTTGCACAGCAAACACCAGGGGGGGCGGATGCTAGAAGCCAGAGGAGAGGGGCTGCCTCCGGGTCGCGGGCGCAGCTGCCCCGGGACAGGCTCTCCTCCCCCCGGGAAGCTCTTGTTTTGGAAAAGAGCGGGGCGGGGCCGGCGGTGGAGCGTGGGTTGGAGGAGGTTCCCTTTTATTTCGGGTTTTGACACTTGAGTCGTGTTTCGTAAAAGAGCGTTCAGGGGAGCGGAGGCTCCGTGGTGCCCCGCGGGCTGCGCAGGAACCGCCGCGAGGACCGGGCTGCGCGTCTGGGCCCTGAGTAAGAGGGGGCGAGCCCGGCAGCCCGCGGGATGAGCTGCAGGAAGCTGTCGCCTGCCCGAGCTCGTCGCCACTGGTAAGGACGAGAGGGGGGTCGTGGGGAGAAACTCGGGCCATGCAAGAAAAGAGATCCGAGAAACTCAATCCCGGAGGTGGCGGGGGAGAGTGGCCAGAGTTTCGGCAGAACCGGCAGCAGACGCCAACAGCGAGGCAGAGGGAGGAGGAAAAGGCTGGGCTTAGGCAACCTGCTACTGGGGTTGAGACAAAGGAGGTTTGAAAGAGGCGGGATCGGTTTCTAATATCAGCTCCGGGGGGGGGGGGGGGGGGGAGGGAGAGAGAGAGAGAGACCCAGCACCTGGATGGAACAGAGTTAATCCTCAGCGTGTCCTTCCCGGCAGGAATGACTGGACTATGTGCCACCATAAGAACTCGGGGGGACAAGTAAGTCTGGGAAAGGAGTCACAGATTCTGGCTGCACGGTGACATCTCTCCCCCTCTTTGAGGTATGCCTCCATCCCTGCGGTACCTCTTTATCGTTTCTGTCTCTACCGTGGTCGTTTTTATCGTGTTCTATGTGTTCAGTTTTGGGGGAGAGCAAAGCTACCAGAAGCTGAATAGCTCAGACACTTTGATGCTGACCCAAGTTTGCACGTCCTTTATTAATGGGAAAACTCCGTTCCTGTGGAGAAACAAACTGACCATCTACGCGAAGTCTTCTTGCAAGGAGTATCTGACCCAGAGCCACTACATCACGACCCCTTTATCTCAAGAAGAAGTTGAATTTCCCCTGGCCTATATAATGGTCATCCATCACAATTTTGACACCTTCGCCAGGCTCTTCAGGTCTCTCTTCATGCCCCAAAACATCTACTGCGTTCACGTGGATGAAAAGGCAACCGTTGAATTTAAAGATGCGGTGGAACAATTACTGAGCTGCTTCCCAAATGCTTTTCTGGCTTCTAAGATGGAACCCGTGGTCTATGGTGGGATTTCCAGACTCCAGGCCGATGTGAACTGTATCAAAGATCTGTCAACCTCCCAGGTCCCCTGGAAGTACGTCCTCAACACCTGCGGGCAAGATTTCCCCCTGAAAACCAACAAGGAAATAGTTCAGTATCTGAAAGGATTTAAAGGGAAGAACATTACCCCAGGGGTGCTGCCCCCAGCTCATGCTGTGGGTCGGACCAAGTATGTCCACCGAGAACATCTGGGCAAAGAGCTTTCCTACGTGATTAGAACGACAGCACTGAAACCACCCCCTCCCCACAATCTCACCATTTACTTTGGCTCTGCCTATGTTGCTCTATCAAGAGAATTTGCCAACTTTGTTCTCCACGACCCAAGGGCTGTTGATTTGCTCCAGTGGTCCAAAGACACTTTCAGTCCTGATGAACATTACTGGGTGACGCTCAATAGGATCCCAGGTATGTGCGATTCTGTATTTCACATAGAGGAGATGTACAGGCCGTCCTCTTTATCCACAGGTTCACATCTCTGGATTCAACCAATGTTGCAAGGAAAATAATCAGAAAAAAAAAAGTGTCTCTACTGAACATGTACAGACTTTTTCTTATGATTCCCTAAATGATATGGTATAACAACACTTTGCATGGCATTTACATTGTATAGGTATTTAAGACATGTAGAGATGATTTAGATTACATGGGAGGATGTGCATAGGTTACATGCAAATACTCCGCCATTTTGTAGAAGGGACTTGAGCATTGAAGGGGGTTCTGGAGCCCKTCCCCTGGGCTACTGAGGTCTGACTGTATTTAAGAGGGATTTTGAAGAGTCTTCCATGTTTTATTAGGAAACACAAAATGAAAAAAAAATTGAAATATACAGTTCTTGCCTTCATCCTTTCTAAATGCAGAGTGATATTCTTTATGAGCTCATTCCAGTATTCTTGCACAACCAAATAATACCCWTCTGTGGTGTCACTTTTCAGTTTATCATTGTTCTTTGGCACACAACACTTGTTAAGTCTTTACCACAATAGATATTTCTGTACTCAGTCCACCTGTGCTCTTTCTTCACTCCTAAGGTGTCAGATTTGCTTTTAGCTCCAGATCTTTGCCTTGGCCATCCCCCTACCTATCCTTARAGCTCTAAGGATAGGCAGGGGGGTRAGAGCTCTCTAGCCTCCTTCTCACCTGCCGGATCTCAGCTCTCAGAGGACAGCAGCTCAGAGCACTAGGACATCATTTTCCCTCCAAAGAGTCTGTCACCATCTATAACGATCGTATTTACTTTTTTGCATGGATTTGGTATTGGCCTCTTCTGCATGAGTTCCATGAAGTCCAGGTCATTTTCTCTTTTGTTAAATTCTATAATCTGAATGCTCAGAACACTTAGTAAATGCTCCATAAATATATATTAGATGAATGAATCAATGAGCAAGTGCATGAATGAATGAATGAATGAATGTCAAGTGTGAGGCTTTACTACTACACCTCAGCTGAGATCTGTTCAACTCATTGAGCAAAGAAATATCTGGACCCGTGTACCATATTACATTTATGTGTTTATTTAATAAAAAAGACATTTAAATTCAGATAAATAATGAGAGCCCAGGAAAAACTCCTTTCTTTCTTATCAAAGCATTTCTACCTTTACTTGTTGATCCAACGGATTGTTTTTTTAAACATATAAAACCCCATAGAATTCCTTTGTAAAGAAGCAGCGTGCTTTGGACTCAATGAAAAATACCAAATGGATCTCTAATGAACTAGACAGCATTATTATAGCAAGAGAAAAGCAATCATTGTTCAGGTTGTTGGGGGGCTGCCAAGTTGGAAATGCTGGTAAGTACTCTCGGGCTGCAGGGCAGAGCCTGTTGGGTGATAAACACGCCCACATTCTGTGGAAAATGCCGCGTGTTTGGTCTCTGAATCCCAGGGTGACTAGTCTGGTGAACCATCTAGCTCCTGTGTCTTTTCCCCTGACTTTCCTTCCCCTCTGGCTACATCTTTTCACCCGAGTGGTTGTTTCCATTAATGTCAGATGATTTGGGAACATTAGGTACTTACAGGCCCATTTTCATATTTAAGTATTTATTCTCTTTCTACTTCTACTATTCCATTAAAATTCATAAGGTAGGTTTTGGTCCTAGCCACAGGCTGCCTTAGGTACTGTACTGAGGTAAAGGCATTATGTGACTCAGCAAAAGGAGAAACATAATGCCTTGTTATCTTTTTTTTAAGAAAAAATATCAATTTTGGTTCGTGGTAAATGTCTGTGATTACTTTGCCTGAGGGTGGTTGATTTTATCCATGTCAAATCTGTGTAAGCAAATCAAGGACAAAAGATCTCCCTGTGAGAATTGAAGTGTGGTGTGGTGGAGCCACCTGTAATTCCAGGTGTTTGGAGGCTGAGACAGGAAGATCACCTGTGCTTAGGAGTTTGGGGACAGCCTGAGCAACATACCAAGATTCCCATCTCTCTCTTTTTTTTTCCTTTGCGGGGAGGGGAAAGAAGGTAGAAGCTCTATTTATTTGTTCATTCATTTGTTTATCTTTGGTACTGGAAATTGAATCCAGGGGTGCTTAACCACTGAGCCACATCCCCAGCCCTTCTTTATATTTTATTTGGAGACAGGATCTTGCTAGTTGCTCAGAGCCTTGCTAAGAGACTGAGGCTGGCTTTGAACTCATAATCCTCCTGCGCCAGCCTCTTGTGCATTAGGATTACAGGCATGAGCTATCACACTTGGCAAGATCCCATCTTTAAATAAATAAATAAATAAATAAATAACTTGGTTGAGGAGAAAAATGCCTTTGGCTATCCGTTTGTAGTATGGGGCGCTGGCTTCTGCCCTCTCACAGCAATAGCGTGACACCATGTAAATCACTGGCACTCAACAGAACCTCACATCCCCAGCTTCAAACTAAGGGGCTCACGTAGGAAAATCTTGTCTTCATTTGCACCTTTCTTTGCAAATGACACAATGCCCAGAACCCYATGAAGACAGCATGTACAGTGCAGGGAATCTGTAGAAAGAGCGTCAACATCAGTGACCCTGGGGTCCACACTGACCGTGAACTTGGCTGTGGCATCCTGTTTCCCTTGCAGGAGTCGGAGGAGAGGGTGCCTCTAGAGAGCATCTCCCCAGAGAGGAAGCCGAGCTCGGCCCCTGCCAGTGAGCTGTCCACTCTGATTTATCTGTAAGAGATACATTTCAGGATGATGTGACATTTCCTGGAGCTTTTGCCTCCTTCCTTTCTTYGATTCTTGGCAACATCTCGCTTCAGGGCAAAAGGACATACTGCTTGCAGATGGGCCTTCCCAAATTACCTGTGARTGRTGGCCACGTTTGTAATCCCAGCAAGTTCAAAGCCAGCCTAAGCAGTTTAAGTAATTTAGTGAGGTCCTGAGCAATTTAGCAGGACTAGGGCTAGGGATGTGGCTCAGTGGCCAAGTGCCCCTGAGTTCAATCCCTGGTACCAAAAAAAACAAAAAAAAAAAACAAACAAAAAAAAAGCAAATTACAAGTGAATTGAAGGGAACAGATCACCAAATGATTTCTCCATCTTCAAAAGCCAGGTAAAACCTATTCAGGTACTCAGGTAACTTCAGCATTGGATGTGGTGTAAGATTTGGGGTRTGCATCTAGTTCCTTATTCCCAGACTGCCTTTAATCACGTTAGCTCTTCTATTTTCAGTGTTTTAAGAGGAAAAGTTTTAAGAGGAAAAGTTCTGCAAATACAGTATCGGCATGTTATTTTTGCAAATGTGCAAATACAAATAGAGCTGTTGGTTTCGCCCCTCAAAATTATGTTACTTCTGTCTCCTAAACACCCTCAATTAAATTGTGTATGATGGAAAGACCCTGCCCGGGCACATCAAGTTTCCCAAAACATTCCAAGAAGATGAGTAGTAGCCTAGAATCAGATGGCGTCAGAAGACAAAGCGGAAATGGTTTAAAACTAGAGGGAAGTTTCAAACTACCTGAACTATGATTCAAAATACCTGTGCATTGATGGAGAATGTTAGTGCATTTAGCTTGTATACCTAGAAAATTTACAAAATATCATAAAAATTACCAAATTTGTGTAGAAATGTTATTCATTGTATCAATATAGTATGTTAAGGAGATTCATGAATTTGATATTTTGGCTTCAAACATCATTTTGTCAAAAATAAACACAACTTTGCCATAAAACAAAACAAGACTGGAGAGACTGGGTAGAAGGGTGCTCGMTGCCCACATAGCGTCAGCTGGTTTTCTCTCTTGACTTTCTGGTATGTTACCTTTCTAGGGAGAGAATAACTTATTTCCTGATTTTCCATACTTCATTAGAAATGGTACCAGGGGCTGAGGATATAGCTCCGTGGGTGAGGGCTGGTCTAGCATGTGGGAAGCCTGGATTCCATCCCCACCATGGGATGGATGAGGAGGAAGGAAAAAAAAAAAGAATAAGATAAGAAATGGTACCAGGCCAGAAGGAGACCCTTGGGGGTCCCAGCCTCAAGCCCCYCTTCAGGGGCTCTGACCAGCATACTTGCCTGATCTGTTCTAGGGCTCATGAAAAGACATTTGTTGGGAGGGGATCCTCTCCCATCTGGCCACATGATCCAAGGAAGGCCAACGGGATCCCAGATCTCTCCAACACTGCAGAGCATCCGGCTCAGATGGCAGTAGCTCACGCTCACTTCTGGGGCACCTGTGTGTTCTCTCAGATCTTTGTMATTATTGTTATGTATTTCCTTAAGAAGAGTCCATTTTCTCTATCCAATCTGGTTATTCTTCTGGCATTTTTCACTTGCCTACCTGCCCCAAGGTAGAGCTCCAGAGGGCTTGTAGTTTCTGTTTGGTTTGGTTTTGCAGTACGTGGGGTGGAACCCAGGGCCTTGTGCATGCTAGGCAAGCGCTCAACCACTGAGATGCACTCCCAGTCTCCTTGGAGTGTTTGCTTTGAATCTTATGAAATTGTTCAGCATCTGTGGACTGATCTAGCTTTTTTTTAAAAAATATTTATTTATTTTTAGTTGTAGTTGGACACAATATCTTTATTTTATTTATTTATTTTTATGTGGTGCTGAGGATCAAACCCAGGGCCTTGCACTTGCTGGTCTAGTTTTTTTTTTTTACAATCCAGTCCCATAGCTCAGTTATCTTTTCCTCCCACTTCAGGGCAGGGCAGGCCCTAGGAGGCAAGGCTGCTACGACCTGCTATGGTTTCSACTCCTTTTCTTCCTTCAACTGCATTGTCTGGTCTTTTGAATCTTTGCTCCTGGATGACTCCAACTTTTCTCATGCCTGGATGTTTTTCTTCCATAGGAATGTTTTCATTTGTCTCTCTTCCTTTTTCCACTTTGTATACATTTTTTTTTCCCCAAAGCCCCTTTGTCAAAGAAATCATCTCAACCTCTCAAGGGGATCACATGACCACATTTCCTCATTTTTAAATTCTAAAAATAG